AATAAGCGTCTGGTAAGTTTGCTAAACCATTTATATATATTCCGAAATCATTTATCTATGACGTTTCGGAAAACAGGTTAAACATATTTTCCTCACTTTTGTTTTTTTAACGATAAAAACCATATTCTAGAAAAGATATAGAACGACTACATTTTAATTACTTTATGATAATCATATATTTGTTTGAAATATTGGTAATTTTATGCCGAAAATTGTTTTGTTTCTGGATTATTGTATCTTGATAACGTTTTAGGAGAAACGTTTTGATTAGTAAAATATTTATTTGCAATGGAGTCACGTATTTTTATATTAAACGTTAATTTATAAATGATAAATAATAATAACTAATATTAATTTATCATATAAAACTCGTATCACATGGGTTAATTATTCGATAACTCTTCACTAGGGTGCTGTGGTGTATTACCTTTTTATTAAATAGTTACTTATGATCTTTATTTTTTGAATGGAGTATATATTTTTGAATTAGACTATTTGTTTTTTGATTTGTCATTTGTGTTTCTGAAACACGTTTTGATTTATGAGGTTAGAAAAAATGTGCGTTTTAATGTTGACTTGTCAACTTATTATTAATTATTATTATTAATTTTAATATTTTACTGTTGGTGGGTGGGTTTGAGAGTTTTGAGTTGACCCCTCGAAAATAATCTTTTGAAGTGTACAATTTAATACGAAGTTGTCTTTTTGACTTTCAAAGCTGGCAAAGAATAGCCTTCTGCTTGCGCTGGAGTCAATTGATGGATTTTGGAATGTCACGTTTTAATGTGTACTGTAAAATTGTAAAATGAGATATTATAGATATCTCTTATTTCTAAACTGTGAATTAATTAAGTGCTATGGTATCTCGATACTCTCAGATTGACCCAGCAAAGTAACAAACATCAGTTTCTGGATTTGGAGTTTTGCTCAGGGAGCAGGGATTCAGGGGCTTCTTTAGGGGTTGGGTGCCCACCTTGCTTGGTTATAGTGCTCAAGTGCCGGCAAATTTGGATTCTATGAGTTCTTTAAGAAGTATTACTCGCATTGTTGGGCCTGAGTATGCTTCCAGTACAAGACCTGGTATACCTTGCTGGTTCAGCATCAGCTGAAGTGATTGCTGATGTTGCCCTGCCCAATGGAGGCTGTAGTCCTGGTCCAAACTCAGCCCGTTTTGCCCGGGGTTTGGCCGATGGGCTTCCCAAGTTTTGTCAGTCTGAAGGTGTTCTTGGGTATATATCCATGAATGACATATTTGGTTATTTGACTCAGGAATTTATATTTCTTTGAGTTCTGATTTTGATGTGATAAATTTGAATGTTTTGCAGATTGTACAAAGGGCTGTTCCTCTTTGGACGTCAGATTCCATGTAAGCCAAATTATGTCGAATTCTTTCATGTTTCTATTTGTTTCGAATTTACTTTCTGTGCCTACTTTGAATTATATCAGACTGTTATTTTTTTCTTTTTGCTGCCAAATCTTCAAAGGTTGCTGACATTTATGAAATAGCCTATGTGCACTCTCCACTTTCTTATTAGTGTAACCTTTTCGTCTAGATTCTTTTTAACTATCTCAACCTTCAGAATGCTTTTCAACTCTCTTTTGCTCCAATTGCATTGATTCATGAACAAGGTATATTCTTTAGATGTTGATTTGCTGATATATGTTATAGTTAGTATTCTATCTTAAGACAAGGGTTGCTTACAACCAAATGCGTATCCACAGATCGACGATAAATTTGCTTCTTTTGAGACATTGTGGAGATGATGTACAAGTATGCCACCCAACCCCAAAGACCAATGCAGTAAATCTTTGCAGCTTGGAGTAAGCTTTGCGTGGATATGTGGCGGGTGTATTTTGCGCAGTGTGTCACTCCTGCTGAAATCTGGTGTCTTTTCTGACAATGCAAAGGGAGCAAGTGTTGGTGATGTGAGTGAAGTTTACCTCTCGGAATTCCTGTCTCTTTATAGTTTATTTTTTCAGTTTGTTCAACTGTTTCCTCATTGTAGGCGGTGAAGAAGCTGGGATTATGGGGTCTTTTTACTCGTGGCCTTCCCATTCGTATTGTCATGATTGGAACTCTTACTGGACCCAGTGGGGTTTTATGATGCTTTCAAAGTTTTTGTTGGACTGTAAGTTCCATTTCCTGTATTTGAACTATATTTGCACATAAGTTAGTTCCACGTAGTGCTCAAATTTTCTATGCAATCAAAGAAATAATTGGATGATTTTTGTTCTCTTCAGCCACAACATGGTGGTGCCCCTCCGCCTCCTGCAAAAGCATGAATATAGCTGATGATCAAACATCAACAAGCATTTAATGTTTGGGATTTTAGAGAAAACTTTGTGCTTTGACGGAACACAATAATAGTGGTGATGCTACTGGGTCGGGTGGCTCAAATCGGGCTGTTTTTCTCCTCAAGGACTCCGTTGCTAGCTGGAAATGTCTCTTGTAGACGATTTCTTTTTCATTATTCTTATTCTTGCTGCTCCAAAGTTTTTTCTCGATAGGATGTTCTTGAGTTCATCCTTGCTTTAGTTAGATATGTACTGGAAATGTAGTCTGACTTTTGATGTATGGAGGTTCCGCATGGTGGAATATGAACTTGATAATGCTTCATTAGAAACCTAGGTACATAAACTGATTTGCAATAAACACAAATACAAAATTTTAGCAAAGTAAAATTTATTATTTATTTAACATAAATTTTCAACTCACTTCTTTATATAAGTTAGATGATAATACAAAATACTCTCTTCACATGCTATGTTGTCCTAAACTTCAACATCATTATTAAAGATTATGTATCTTTACAACAAAGATGACCAAAAATTACCTATCCCTAAGTTATCATATGGTTCGATAAAAACTCTCGAGTATATTACTTAAATATTTTGAATTTAACCCCCTCCTTGATTGTTAATAAGAGTGATAACTAAATTCTTACTTGACCAGTAGTTTTAGGGTCTCGAAGGATTAGTTAAAGTACGTGTAAACTGGTCTGGACACTTCCGATTTTAAAAAAAAAAATGATAACAAAAAATAATAATCAATAAATGATAATTATTACAAATTTATTACATCATTTATTTGTTTTACTTTCCCACGGAATGCAACTAGTTTTGAATGATTCTGATCAAAATCTTACAAAAATCAAAAAGCGGGTTAACTCGGCCCAACCCCGCGGGTTAGGGTTGGCGGTTCGGGTTGGGCCAACCAATTCCTTAATATTGGCGGGCCTTACCTGACCCGCCAATGTCACCGAGCGGGTCAGGATTGACTCGCCATTAACAGCAACCCGCCACGGGCTGGGCTGGGCTAGGCTGGGCGAGTTACTTTTTCATCTTTAGTGATAAAGGTTTAGGGTCAAAGGATTTGCTCCCTCTATAGTTTTATATTCGAATTACAAAAATGGTTAATTATATTGTTGGTTACGAATCGCAAGGTTTGTTTGATTTCAAAAATCTTGTTTGAGACCGAAGAAGTAGTTAAAATGTGCATAAACTAACCTGAACACTATAAAAAAAAAAAGTGTATCTAATGTCAAACCTTTTATATTCTGTATAAAATAATAATAATAATAATAATAATAATTGAAGCTTGTTTGTTATATGGAAAATAAAACTAGAGTCAACTTGGCTATTTTGTCGCGCCCCTTCAACAGTGCCACCACAAATATCCCATTTCATCTTTCACCTGCCTCTCTCAAATCAAACTCATTTTGAGAGAGTTGAGACAGCAAAATCAAAAACCAAAAGCCAATCAAACCCTAGGTTTTCACAAACACAAAAATGGCTGTCTCTGATTATCATTCTCGCCAATCTCTTATCCCAAGCTTTCTCTACTCCTCTTCATCCTCCAAGAGACTCTACGATTTGGAGTATTTGACGAACACGCACCGTACTGGAATGTTAAATCAATCAGCACCGACCATTTCACTCTCATCAAATGGGGGTGGATTCGTGATTCCGGCGCCGAAAGAGAAGATTGAGATGTACTCTCCCGCTTTTTACGCTGCGTGTACGGTCGGAGGGATCTTGAGCTGTGGCCTCACTCACACGACCGTTACTCCTCTCGATCTCGTCAAGTGCAATATGCAGGTCAGTTTGAATTATATTTATACTTGTAAAATATCGTGTTCGTTGACGTGTTCTGATTTTTCTGATGATTTTACTTGTTTTCACTCGTGATTTCATTAATCTTTCTTCTTGATGATTGCTATTAAGTATGGGATTTGAATTTGCATTGAAGAATAGATTCTTGTGTTACGGATTGGGTCTCTGCTTTGTAGAACTCTCAATGTTAAATAATTTTATATTGACCCTCTCACTGCTTTTACTCGAAGGACTGTTTTCAGTTTTCACAATAAAAAGAATATAAAAAATTGATGTATCCGCATCCAAACAAAATTATGGGTCCCACAATATATCCTTATTTAAGTTTAGATATCCCCAAATTTCCTTTAGTTAATGTGTCTTATCATTTTATTTGCATTTAAATATTTACATTAAATAATATATATCATTGAGATATCTCTTAGAACTGTGATGTTATTCTTATATGAAAAATATAATAAAGATCAAATAATATATTTTTTTTCCTTTATTGAAGTAAGATAATTACTCTTCAGGCGTATAACTTAACTTCATCAAGTGAAGACATTATTTAAGGACATTAACAGCCGGTTAGTTGGGCTATGTGGGCCTTTTCTGTAACCGAATGAGTTGCTCACTTTTTGCCAAAGAGTTGTAGCCCGACGAAAGGTTCAGCCTAATATCCCACATATAAGCATTACGTCCTTGCTTACCTCCAGCCTGCTACAATTTGTTCACGTCTCTGGTAACATATTTTTGAAATATTCAAACTTCCTTTAAAATTTATTTATAGAATACAAAGAGGGGTTAAATAAATATATTCGTAAAACTGCAATCAACTTTCGTGAATAAAAAGAAGGAAAAGTCAGGAAGTCAAAATTTCCAGGCAAAACTCAATAAATGCCATTCAAAGTCGAAAACAATATTTAGTTAGACTCTTTTCTTGCGCTCCAAGCAGCCACCACCACCTCCATTTCATTGTTCCTTTCCCTCTCTCAACCTCAAATCACAAACATTTTTGTTTTCTTTTCCGAGGAGAGAGCAACACAACAACCAAAACTAAAACCCAAACAACTAAGAAGCCTTATATTTTTTATGAAGGACAAAATGTTTCTCTCTAATTATGATCACTCTGGTAATTCTTTGATACCAAACTTTCTCTACTCGTCTTCATCGTCCAAAATACTCCACGAGTTGAACGATCCGATGAACACAAACGGTGGAGTGTTTCATCAATCACCACCGTTGGTTTCTCCATCAAATGGTGGTGGTTTCCTGATTCCGGCACCTAAAGAAAAGGTGGAGATGTACTCTCCAGCTTTCTACGCTGCATGTACGGCGAGTGGTATGTTTAGTACTGGCATCACCCACACGGCTGTGACTCCTATCGATGTGCTCAAGTGCAATATGCAGGTCGATTTTTGTTTTATTCTAGTAAAAAAATAAAAACCTCATTCGTTAGTTTTGCTTGTTTCTTGTTAATATTCATTTTCCCGGTACTGCTTGTTTTTACCAATCGAATTTAAAAAATCAAAGCGAGAAAACTACGTTTGATTTTCAGGCTCAATAATGCGTCTGGTAAGTTTGCTAAAACCATTTATATATTCCGAAAATCATTTATCTATGACGTTTCGGAAAACAGGTTAAACAAATATTTTCCGTCACTTTTGTTTTTTTAACGATAAAAACCATATTCTAGAAAAGATATAGAACGACTACATTTTTAATTACTTTATGATAAATCATTAATTTGTTTGAAATATTGGTAATTTTATGCCGGAAATTGTTTTGTTTCTGGATTATTGTATCTTGATAACGTTTTAGGAAGAACGATTTTGATTATGTAAAATATTTATTTGCAATGGAGTCGCGAGTAGCAGATTCAGAAATTTCTGTTAGGGTAGATCAAAATAAAAATTAATTACACATTAATATTTTTGTTAGGGCGGGCTAAAATTAAAAAATTGTATGTATTAGTATTTTAAAAAAAAAAATTCAGGGTGGGCTATGGCGGGATCCGCCCCTCACGTATTTTTAATATTAAACGTTAAATTTATAAATGATAAAATAAATAATAACTATATTAAATTTATCATATGAAACTCGTATCACATGGGTTAATTATTCGATAACTCTTCACTAGGGTGCTGTGGTAGTATTACCTTTTTATTAATTAGTTACGTATGATCTTTATTTTTATGAATGGAGTATAATATTGTATTTGAATTAGACTAATTTGTTTTTTGATTTGTCATTTGTGTTTCTGAAACACGTTTTGATTTATGAGGTTAGAAAAATGTGCGTTTTAATGTTGACTTGTCAACTTATTATTATTATTATTATTATTAATTTTAATATTTTATCTGTTGGTGGGTGGGTTTGAGAGTTTTGAGTTGACCCTCCTCGAAAATAAATCTTTTGAAGTGTACAATTTAATAACGAAGTTGTCTTTTTGAACTTTCAAAGCTGGCAAAGAATAGCCTTCTTGCTTGCGCTGGAGTCAATTGATGGATTTTGGAATGTCACGTTTTAATGTGTACTGTAAAATTGTAAAAATGAGATATTATGTAGATATCTCTTAATTTCTAAACTGTGAATTAATTAAGTGCTAATGGTATTCTCAATACTCTCAGATTGACCCAGCAAAGTACAAAAGCATCAGTTCTGGATTTGGAGTTTTGCTCAGGGAGCAGGGATTCAAGGGCTTCTTTCGGGGTTGGGTGCCCACCTTGCTTGGTTATAGTGCTCAAGGTGCTGGCAAATTTGGATTCTATGAGTTCTTTAAGAAGTATTACTCGGACATTGTTGGGCCTGAGTACGCTTCCAAGTATAAGACCTTGGTATACCTTGCTGGTTCAGCATCAGCTGAAGTGATTGCTGATGTTGCCCTCTGCCCAATGGAGGCTGTGAAGGTCCGAGTCCAAACTCAGCCTGGTTTTGCCCGGGGTTTGGCCGATGGGCTTCCCAAGTTTGTCAAGTCTGAAGGTGTTCTTGGGTATGATATCCATGAATGACATATTTGGTTATTTGACTCAGTGAATTTATATTTCTTTGAGTTCTGATTTTGATGTGATAAATTTGAATGTTTTGCAGATTGTACAAAGGGCTTGTTCCTCTTTGGGGACGTCAGATTCCATGTAAGCCAAATTATGTCGAATTCTTTCATGTTTCTATTTGTTTCGAATTTACTTTCCCTGCCTACTTTGAATTTTATCAGACTGGTATTTTCGTTCTTTTGCATTGCCAAATCTTCAAAGGTTGCTGACATGTATTGAATAGCCTATGTGCACTCTCACTCTTTCTCTTATTAACCTTTTTGTCTAGCCATCTCAATTCTTTTTAACTATCTCAACCTTCAGAATGCTTTTCAACTCTCTTTTTCTCCAATTGCATTGATTTCATGAACATAGGCTTATATTCTTTAGATGTTGAGTTTGCTGATATATGTTATAGTTAGTATTCTATCTTAAGACAAGGGTTGCTTACAATCAAAATGCGTACCCACAGATACGATGATGAAATTTGCTTCTTTTGAGACAATTGTGGAGATGATGTACAAGTATGCCATCCCAACCCCAAAAGACCAATGCAGTAAATCTTTGCAGCTTGGAGTAAGCTTTGCTGGTGGATATGTGGCGGGTGTATTTTGCGCAGTTGTGTCACATCCTGCTGATAATCTGGTGTCTTTTCTGAACAATGCAAAGGGAGCGAGTGTTGGTGATGTGAGTGAAGTTTACCTCTCGAGAATTCCTGTCTCTATTTATAGTTTATTTTTTCAGTTTGTTCAACTGTTTCCTCATTGCAGGCGGTGAAGAAGCTGGGATTATGGGGTCTTTTTACTCGTGGCCTTCCCATTCGTATTGTCATGATTGGAACTCTTACTGGAGCCCAGTGGGGTATTTATGATGCTTTCAAAGTTTTTGTTGGACTGTAAGTTCCATTTCCTGTACTTGAACTATATTTGCACAGATAAGTTAGTTCCACGTAGTGCTCAAATTTTCTATGCAATCAAAGAAATAATTGGATAATTTTTGTTCTCTTCAGGCCAACAACTGGTGGTGCCCCTCCGCCTCCTGCAAAAGCATGAATTATAGCTGATGATCAAACATCAACAAGCATTTAATGTTTGGGATTTTAGAGAAGAACTTTGTGCTTTGACGGAACACAATAATAGTGGTGATGCTACTGGGTCAGGTGGCTCAAATCGGGGCTGTTTTCTCCTCAATAAGGACATCCGTTGCTAGCTGGAAATGTATTCTCTTGTAGACGATTTCTTTTTCATTATTCTTATTCTTGCTGCTCCAAATGTTTTTTCTCGATAGGATGTTCTTGAGTTCATCCTTGCTTTAGTTAGATATGTACTTGAAATTGTAGTCTGACTTTTGATGTATGGAAAGGTTCCGCATGGTGGAATATGAGACTTGATAATGCTTCATTAGAAACCTAGGTACATAAACTGATTTGCAATAAACACAAATACAAAATTATTAGCAAAGTAAAATTTATTATTTATTAATAACATAAAAATTTTCAACTCACTTCTTTTATAAAGTTAGATGATAATACAAAATTACTCTCTTCACAATGCTATGTTGTCCTAAACTTCAACATCATTATTAAAGAATTATGTATCTTTACAACAAAAGATGACCAAAAATTAACCTATCCCTAAGTTATCATATGGTTCGATAAAAACTCTCGAGTATATTACTTAAAATATTTTGAATTTAAACCCCTCCTTGATTGTTAATAAGAGTGATAACTAAAATTCTTACTTGACCAGTAGTTTTAGGGTCTCGAAGGATTAGTTAAAGTACGTGTAAACTGGTCTGGACACTTCCGATTTTAAAAAAAAAAAATGATAACAAAAAATAATAATCAATAAATGAATAATTATTACAAAATTATATTACATCATTTATTTGTTTTACTTTCCACGGAGATGCTAACTAGTTATTGAATGATTCTGATCAAAATCTTAGTTTAAGTTCAGATTAAGAGGGTATACAGTATCAAAGACAATCCTTGCAAAAGTATGCCGAACCTCGGTCAGGCTTCCCAAAGCTAAGGACTCGCAATCAATCTTACTACCTTGCTTTGACACAAAAGATTGACCAAAAATTAACCAACCCCTACGTTACCGAATAGTTCGATAGAAACTCTTGAATATACCACTGTTTTAAAACCCGGACCAAAGGGCAACCCATTATGCTGTCCGGGTCACGGTCCAACCGGTTCGGTTGAACCGGTGACATCATCACACAGCATGATGATGTCAACACATTTAAAAAAACTTGTGTCAATTGATAATTTGTGTAAAAAATAACAAGTTATTAGAGATTAGACATCTTCTAATTTGTGCAAATAATAACCAGTTATTAGAGATTACAAAATGGAAAAATACCCAAAAAAAAAAAAAAAATTTATTCCATAGATTGTCTCGACAATACACCGTAGACATTTGATGTACAACTTAACAAAACTAAAAATGACTTGAAACTCATAATACCAATAACAGCAACAAGTTCAAAACACCTTTGTAAAACAAAAAGACTGTATTTACAAAGGGGTTCACTAAATCAAAATCCCCAATTCCCTTTCAAATAACAAATCATAACCACCACCACTGTCTATCCTCTTCCACCACCACTCATAACCCCATTGCCAATCTCAACCATCGTCTATCCTCTTCCTTTTCCACCACCACTCTCAGTCGAAATCCCCATTTCCCTCACAGCGAAATGCGAAGGAAGAGGATAAAACCACTCAACTGCTGTCGTCCCCTCCCTTCCTAATCAATCACACCACCGTCCTCTTCCTTCACAGCAAATGATGCCACTGTCCACTCCATTTGACTGTGAGTGACGCACCACCCAATGGGAAACCACCATAGCATATGGACGATCTAACATAATTAATTAAGAACAAAACAAATGGAGCGGTGCATTTCTTGTGCCGTATCGTGAACAATCTTTGAAAAGGAATAAGGTCATGTTCAAATACTTATTTATTATATATAAGCTTAGGGGTCTTAGATTATAATAGTGTATGCACATGCTTTAAGATCATTATCACACACTAGTCTGGGAAATATCACTCACGGGTTAGCCCCTCCTGACAGGCGTGGGCTGTAAGACTTTGATACAGTCAATAAGAGTTGAGAGAGAACAAAAGTGGGACTCACATGATCTCACTCTATTCTTCTTCTTCTTGTTTTATTATATAACCTTTTTTCTCTCGTAAGTTTCGCACAGATTCCTTTACGAAGCTTCTACTACACAAAGTCAATTAATTTTACCCTTCGTATTTTACACAAACCGCCGCCGTCCCCTCCCTTCCCAATCAGTCGCACCACCGTCCTCTTCCTTCACAGCAAATGATGCCACTGTCCACTCCCTTTCACTGTGAGTGACGCTATCATTCTCTTCCCTCGCCGTGAGCAATGTTGTTGTCCTCTTCCCTTGCAGTGAACGACGTCGTCGTGCTCTACGCTCACTATGAGCGACGCCATAACACTGCCGCCCTCTACCCCTCCTCAACTCGATTTCCGACGAGAGAGGAAGACGTCGTCAATTTCCCACGAGGGAGTTCAGTTGTGATTTCAGACTTAGGGAGTGGAGTTGATTACGATTTGAGTGGGATTTCAGACAGAAATTTTCGAAGAGAAGCTAAGAAATCTGAGAAATTTTAGTAGAGAAACTGAGAAAGAGAAGAAGTTAAGAAACAGAGAAAGGAAATCAATGGAATGGGCTACGCGGTAGTGCGTTTGGGTAGGTTTAAGGGTTTTTGAAATCAAACTAGTTTATCTGCCGATCCAGTTAGACCGACGGTTCCTCGACTTTATCTGGGTTTTGACCGGGTTAAAACAGTTTAATGCATAATAATGGGTTTGATGTTAACTCAAACCGGACACATGACCAGTTCTTGGCCCAACCGATTGGACCGACCAATCTGGTTCGATTTTTAAAACAGTGGAATATACTATTCAAAATGTTATGAATTTGAACCCCTCTTTGGTTGTTAATAAAAGTGATCACTAAAACTCGTATTTGACTAGTAGTTTCAAAGTCTCGAAGGATTAGTCAAGGTACGTATAAACTGGTTCGAACACTTCCGATTATAAAAAACAAAAAAATTGATGACAAAAAATAATAATCAATAAATGAATAATTATCACAAAATTATATTACATCATTTATTTGTTTTACTTTCCACGAAGATGCTAACTAGTTATTGAATGATTCTGATCAAAATCTTAGTTTAAGTTCAGATTAAGAGGGTATACAGTATCAAAGACAATCCTTGCAAAAGTATGCCGAACCTCGGTCAGGCTTCCCAAAGCTAAGGACTCGTAATCAATCTTACTACCTTGCTTTGACACAAATTCCTTTTCTGCGCCTCCTCTCACGCACTCAAAAATCTTGCATGCTCTCAAATACAATCCTAATGGTATAAAAACCTGCAACATGAAAGAATGCCCATTTATTGTATTATAAATGCAATGTAAAAAAAAAATAAAAAGAAAAAGCATCAAGTTGACCATTCAATCGCGCTTGTCTGGACTGTTACATCTCTTATATAAATACCCTGGTAGTGGTAGTTAATATTCATTTCGATTTAACTGTTGACTTGTCTTGACTAGTGACATTTTATGATTATCCTTTCTTTTTTAAAGTTGACATGAAAACAAAGCATCCAGAGTCTTATCTATTGCTCGTTTTTAATTCCATGACTGCAGATGTGAAAAGAAAATGAAGGAAAATGCTCACCAGGTCAGAAAAAGGAGCTTGAGGATATCCTGCCATTGCCTGAGATACAATATACTCATCAGTCATCTTGGTCAACGCAGCTTTAATCGATGTTGCAAGATCCATAGCTTCAAATTTCACTGTCTCGAAGTCCAGATCATGAGGATCTAACAATTCGTGGAAGGTATCATCATGTGGCTTAGTGATCTTCCTCGCTATCTTTACTGCTTCCAACATATTTCCACCATTGTAGACAGCAAGGCTAAACACAGCAACCACTAAAGGATCCCTAGGTCGGTCCGACAATGCTTTATGGAACGCCAAGATTGCAACCCTGAATGATAAAATACTTTTATAGCTAAGATATTTCAGGTCAATGCAAAACATTTAATGAAAAGAGAACAAAAACATTCGAAACGTGAGTTTTCAAAAAGGCAAACGAGCACGTTATCAACATATATCTTGTTATCCAATGGGTAAAAGATCAGGCGAAAAAGCAAAATGTAAGAGAACCCTTGAATAGCTATAGTCAAGTGGCATGAAGAGATTAACATAGATATTGGGGAATTAGATGCTAGAACTTCTAGACCAATATGCTTTGATGCCCATAGAACCAAACTATGGTCTTCTTGAATGATTTTTATTTTTGGTCTCTAGCCAAGATATATTCCTGTACGATTGGCTGATTAGATTTCTAATACTAATATGATATAATGGCCACTGCAAAATCAACAACTTCTAACAAAGGTAGCCTATGTCTTTGGTACATAACAAGTTACTTAGAGATTTCTCATACATTTGGCCACAAAGAATTCGAGAAGGGCAGGATACAGCTTAGACAATTTCTTCCACTGGACATCTTAAACTTTATCATTTCGAAGATATTTGATTTTATACATGTTGACAATCAGGAGTAATTATCTCCAAGTTGGTTCTCCAATATTCAAGGCCCTAATTTGTCTCTACTGCTAGCTGTACAGATAGACTAGAATTACTAGAATCCCTGTAAATATGTGATTGTATCTCGACCGCTATAGTTTCCTCATAGTTAGTCAATCAGTCCTAAATTATAGGATCTAAAGCTTTGTAGTTTGTACAGTGGCTATTTATGCCCAGCCAGTAATAGAGAAAAAAATCGAAGTCTTCTCCTCACAACTCTGTATTTTTGACTTGGTATCAGAGCAGGTATTATTATCCGTTCTATATCATCACAGCCTGAATTCTTATATACCTCTCGCACCATGACTAATGACAAACCTAAATCATCCTATGTACCAGTTATCCATGTTCAATAAGAAAACCCCAGTTTTACAACTAATGTCATCCTTACCGAAACCAATTATGATGTCTGGTCTCAAATCATGGAAATGCAGATTGCAGGGCGTGAGAAACTTGAATATCTTACGAGTAAAACATCTCCGAAGGTTACTGATCCTTCCTATGCGAAATGGTATGCTGAGAATCAAAAGGTCAAAGGATGGTTGTTGACCTCTATGTCACCGGAGATTATGAAATGCTATCTTAGATTGCCTACTGCACGTGAAATCTAGAGTGCTCTTGCCAAAGCATTCTATGATGGGGCAGATGAATCGCAACTCTTTGCACCGAATCAACAGCATTCTCTACCAAACAGGTTGGTCATCCTCTTTCCACCTATTATGGTGATCTGAAAGAAATTTTTCAAGAGCTAGACCATCGTGATAAAATTGTCATGAACGATCCCGATGATGTTATTGCCTATAAAAAATCAGTTGAGAGACTACGAGTGCATATTTTTCTGAATGGACTAGATGCAGAATTTGAACAAATTCAAGGTGAGATTCTCAAGAGGGATCATGTACTGGATCTTGAAGAAACTTATGCGTATGTTCATCGTGATTCTGCTCGCCGAGCTGCACTAAATGGCGAACCTGAACATTTAGAGCCATCTGCTATGGTAGCTCGTCGAGTCAAGTATCAACGACCGCAAACCAACCTGAAACCAGATCGAACCTTTGGTCCATTGAATCATGATCATAATCAATCATTTGGATCACATGTGGCTACAAAATAGGAGTTGCATGACCAAAACGTATGTGTACTCATTGTGGTGAAACCGGACACACTAAGTCACAATGCTATGAATTGATGGATATCCAAAATAGTGGGATTTTGCCAAGGCACCTTATAAACAAGATTCAAAGACAAACCATCATGCTTCTGTTGCTGTGGTAGAGCCTAGTCATTCTTCCACCAACAATCCTGAGAAAGCCTCCTCTTTCATTGCTACTTCTGGGAATGTGGGTAAGGCTCTTCATACCTCTACTGTTGTTATTCATAGTGAATAGATAATTGATTCATGTGCCACAAATCACATGACCTTTAACAATAATCATATTCAGTCCATAAAATCCTTAGACCGACATATAATGTCCACAACCGATGGTACCCCCTCTCCCGTGTTAGGAGAAGGTTCAAGTTCTCTTACAAAAAATTTGAATTTAGATTCGGTTCTGGTTGTCCCTTCCCTTAATCATAACTTATTGTCTGTTGCTCAAATAACCCTTGCTTTAAATTGTATTGTGATTTTTTGGCCTAAACTTTGTATCTTTAAGGACATTCGGACTCAGAAGACAATTGGTTATGGTACTAAGAAAGGGAAGCTCTACCATCTGGATCTAATGCCGATAAGCTCAAATCAGTTGGTTGAAGTTTTTTCAACTAATACACCTAATAAATTTCAGAGTTCAGAAATCTGGTTATGACACAGGCATTCAGGTCATGCATCTTTTGGATATTTACAGAAATTATTTCCACAACTTTTTTCGCAATTGACTGTTTCAGATTTTAAGTGTGACATTTGTGAACTGGCTAAAAGTCATCGTGTTCCATTTCCTATTAGTATTAATAAAAGTCCTATACCTTTTATGGTTATTCACTCTGATGTATGGGGGCTTGCAAATACTTCTTTTTTGAGTGGAGCACGTTGGTTTGTTTCATTTATTAATGATCACACTCGTATAACTTGGATTTGCTTGATGAAATCAAAGAGTGAAGTGAGTTCCCTGTTTCAACAATTTCACAAATGATAGCAACTCAATATCAATCTAACATTCAGATTATCCATACTGATAATGGAAGCGAGTTTATCAATTAAGACTTGAAACCGTACCTGAATTTACATGGCATTGTTCATTAGACTACTTGCCCTTACACCCCTCAACAAAACGGGGTAGCCGAATGAAAAAATCGTCACCTTCTTGAGGTTGTTCGTGCTTCCCTGTTTGGAGCTCACACGCCCACCAATTATTGGGGTGAAGCTGTCACCGCTGCAGCCTACCTCATCAACCGTGTACCTTCTAGTTCCCTACAATTTCAGACTCCCTTTGATGTCTTTCATCACACTGTAAGTGCTCCTACCATACCGAATTTGTCCCCTAAAGTTTTTGGATGTGTAGCCTTTGTGCATCTTCACAAAGGCTTGAGAACTAAGTTGGAACGCCGGGTATTTCGATGTGTATTTGTTGGCTATGCCTTGCATCAAAAAGGCTATTGGTGTTATCACCCCCCTTCTCGCAGCTTTATGTTACCCTTGATGTGGTCTTTCATGAAAATGATATGTATTATTTTGAGTCTTCACTTCAGGGGGAGAATAGAGATGAAGTGCAGACTTCACATCATCCTTTGGACAACTTGGATTTTATACGAGGTGATAACTTGGAAACTAGTGGACAATGTCCAAGTGATGGTAACTCCATGGATAACAGGGAGGAGTGTCCAGGTGATGGTCTAGAATTTTTTGAGGATGAGAATCAGGGTTAGATGGAAGTTCAAAATCAAATGGAAGTGCCGTCAGTCTCACGATTTACCAGCTAACCAATTGTCTTCCCCAACCGATTCCATGCCTGAGTCTCATGAAAATTCTGAATTTGAACCTCACCTATAAGTGTTACCCAATCGAGTTACAAGAGGGAAACCCAAAGTTAGCTATGAACTTGTCCTCAACTCCAAATCTAAATATCTCATAACTAACTATGTATCCTACCATAGATAGCCAAAAGAAAGTATGACATTTGTGAATCAATTATCTGTTGTATCTATTCCTAACACTGTTCAGGAAGCCTTGAAAGATCCCAGATGGAAGGAGGTAATGAATGAAGAAATGAAGGCCCTTCAAAAGAACTCAATGTGGGAAGTTGTTGACTTGCCTGAAGGAAAGATACCTATTGGATGTAGGTGGGTCTTCACCATTAAATACAAAGTCGATGGAACTATTGAACGGTGCAGAGCAAGACTTGTCGCCAAGGGATATACTCAAACATATGGAATTGATTATATGGAGACATTCGCACCAGTGACCAAAATTAATATTGTTCATATTCTATTATCTCTGGCGGTGAATCTTGATTGACCTTTACACCAGTTTGATGTAAAGAATGCATTTCTGCATGGAAATCTCCAAGAAGAAGTGTATATGGAGTTGCCCCCTGGCTGTAATCGGCAGACTGAAGGTAATAAACAGGTATGTAGGTTGAGAAAAGCCCTATATGGTTTGAAGCAGTCTCCTAGAGCGTGGTTTAGAAGGTTCACCAGTTTTATGAAGTCTATTGGTTACAAGCAAAGTAACTCAGATCACACTCTATTCTTAAAGCATAATGAAGAGCAAATCACAACTCTTATTGTGTACGTTGATGATATGATAGTGACTGGAAATGATCCTGAAGAAAGGAAAACACTACGAGAGCATCTTGCCCGTGAGTTTGAGATGAAAGACCTCGGTGAATTGAAGTATTTCTTCGAAATTGAAGTGTCAAGATCGAATAAAGGTAGTTTTCTGTTACAAAGAAAATATGCCTTAGACCTATTGAATGAAATTGGTATGAGAGCATGTAGTCCAGCTAGCACTCCTATGGAAGAAAATCTGAAACTATGTGTGCATTCAAATCAAGTTCCTGCTAACAGGGAACGCTATCAAAGGCTGGTTGGAAGATTAATGTATCTTGCCCATACTCGGCCTGATTTAGCTTATGCGCTGAGTGTGGTTAGTCAATTCATGCACTCCCCAAGCGAAGAACATATGAATGCTATCATCCGTATCTTATGCTACTTGAAGTCATCTCCAAGAAATGGAATTTTATTCACAAAAGGAGACAATTAATTTGGATATTAACGGCTATACAGATGCTGATTGGGCTGGGTCAATTCAACATAGACGTTCTATATATGGCTATTTCACGTTTGTAGGAGAAAATTTGGTTACTTGGCAAAGTAAAAAACAGGAGGTAGCTACTAGATCCAGTGTTGAAGCTGAATACAGAGGAATGGCTAAGGCAATATGCGAATTGTTGTGGATTAGAAATCTGATGCAAGATTTACATATTAAGCAAGTCAGCCCTATGAAATTATATTGTGATTACAAGGCATCGTGTGATATTGCCCATAATCCTGTCCAACATGATCGAACTAAACATGTTGAGGTTGATAAACATTTTATCAAGGAGAAACTGGAAGAAAAATTGATTGAAGTTCCTCATGTTCGATCTCAAGACCAGCTTGCTAATGTGTTGACCAAGGCAATGTCAAACCAAGCATTTAATGACTGTGGCATGAGCGATATCTACGCACCAACTTGAGGGGGAGTGTTGACAATCAGAAGTAATTATCTCCAAGTTGGTTCTCCAATATTCAAGGCCCTAATTTGTCTCTACTGCTAGCTGTACAGATAGACTAGAATTAATAAAATCCCTGTAAATATGTGATTGTATCTCGATAGCTATAGTTTCCTTATAGTTAGTCAATTAGTCCTAAACTATAGGATCTAAAGCTTTGTATAGTGGCTATTTATGCCCAGCCAGTAATAGATAAAAAAAATCAAAGTCTTCTCCTCACAAACTCTGTATTTTTGAAACCTAGCAGAAATATGCTATGTGAGAAGGGCTCCAGCGAAACTGGTCAAATAAAGCAACAATGCAAGTATTTAAGCCACCCAACAGGTCTATGTTACTTTATGGCATATGAATAACATAATACTGATTTAAAATAACATTTCAGCAGTTCCTAGTTGATTTTAATCTTACCATAAGCTACTGTGGCATGGCCTGTCAGGTGCCAGAAGCTTATCCAAGTTAGAGAACAGTGACTGCAAACGGAAGACCAGAATATTAGAAATTCTGACATGATTAGAAAGATCAAATACATTACACCTGAAAGCATTGTGTAAAGATCACAGCAGTATTCGTAGCTCAGGCACAAGATTTCCCAGATGAAGAAAAGTAGGGCATGCCTTTGTTACAATATTCACCAGTACTTGAATGGGAAATATGTTTAATATCAACAAATTAAAAGTTCAGGTCGAGACAAAAAAAAAATCATCAGCTGTACAGCCTTTAAACCAAATGTTAAAAATAAGCAAAAAACAACAAATCAACATAATGTTTACTAAAATTACCAGAAGCATATTAGATCTCTTGTCACGTCTCCGAAAACCATGCTGGACAAAATATGATGCCTGTCACACAAAGTTGTCTCAGTCCTCTAGAACCATGACCAACAAACAAATAGGCAAAACTGAATTATCAAATATGAACCTGAAGGGGTAGAAGTATTTCCAGAAGTCCAAATTTCCATAATAACCTCAAAGAAGCTTCAGCAGAACCATATGCTAGCATGTAGTTCATTTCCATCAGAAGCCTTCCCTGGACATTTTCAATGAGATATCAGCCAGCAAGAAACATTTTGATGCCACTCAAACACTTAAATACATGAAACTGTAATCGTGGAGAAGGTTATTTAATTACCCTATCAAGCTTTAAAATTGATGAGGATAGATGTTTGATAAAATGAGAAGTTTCCTTTGAAAAGCGAAATCCTAAACGGGCGCCGATTCTTAATGCCCGCAAAATGCGTGCTGTAAAGAACATGGAGTTAGACAAAGTTTGCCTGGTTGGCATGAGAAGTTGAAATTGACTCCATGTGCCAGAGGCTGTGTAAACTAAATTAACAATGTTAGTCTAATAAGGTCAAACTAATTAAAGAAACTGCAAACAAAAACTTACCACAATCATCCTGAAAAGAAGTATTTGCAGAAATAACAGTTCGTACCTGCAATCATATAAGACAAATGAGGACAATGTGCATAATAACAAGTCTTCAGCAACTCAAGAAACAGCTGTAATGAAACACAAGCACACTTTAGCTTTTCTTATGTCTTCAATTCCTCCGATGTAGTCATACACCATTTTTGCATATGGATCAAACATCAAGCTGCAAAAAGGAAAAAAGTATGTTAAAAGAATGTAAAAGAAGGCCACTACAACTGCTAAAATTTCAATGTACGACATATGTTGGAACAGATTCAAAGCCTTCCTACTCTAAAAGGTTGGAACAAATAACTTCAAGATATAGGGGTCATATAAAGAACCCGTTAATTGTAAAGTCCCGCTGCATACAATTCCTCCACCGAATATAATCCTTCTCATCACAGCCACTAGGTCTCTCAAATTCATAACTGAAGTCCCTACCGAATTTCCGTCCACTTGTGCTAAAACTTGAAACCTAATTTGTAAAAAACATTAAAATGCTTTTTCAGAAACGGAAAAATGAAAACTGAGATCAAATTTCACTTGTAGCTCTGATGTATTTAAAAAATTGGAAAAATGAAAACTTTGACAAAATTTCACTGCAGCAACATCCTTAACGAGGTAGAAAACAGTATGAGTTATTAATTAAAGAAATTTCCACATATGAATCTTAATATTGAATAGAAGATATGTAAATTCACAAAACAAACCTCCACAATAATATCCCCAAGGTGGACATGACAAATAGGAAACCTTTTACCAACTATCGCACACCGTGAAAATGCCCTCATCACCTGCAAGTTGGGTAAAATTTCAGTATGGTAAGTTAGAAGCCAAAATGCAAAAGTCTATAATCACAGTGCAAAACTGATGGAGATTCAAAGTTTCCAGAATCACCACCCTTCTAGATAGCCATAAATGAAACTTATTCAACTCTTCTATAAGAGTTTTGTGATAGACTTACAACTTCAAAATGTCATAGCCTATCCACCTTATTCAAAATTTCCCATCTCAGTATTTCATAGCAATAAATCATGCCAGTATGATAAGTTCAGAAATTAAGCTTATAAGTTTTCTCTTTGCTCCTTTTTGTTTCTTCAATTCTGATTAGTGCATTTATTACAATTTCTATGAAATTGACCACTTACACAGAATCAACAAAAATATAGTTAAGAAANTGATTCTTATGACATTTAGTTTATGATGCAAATGATAGCTGAAAAGAAATTGTTAATTGTGAAGCCATCAAACGCCGCCGTTTTGTTCCTTTATTATTTGCAATCCTAACCATCAATTTGTGAACGATCCAATGGCCGAGTCTTCACCTAACAGTCAATGGTATATAAACGTGGGATTATTCACCTTTCAAACAACAGCTCTCTCTTTTGTGATCAAGAAAAAAAAGCTTTCTCTTCTAGGGTTCTTCAGTTCAGTCTCAAATCTTGTAATCCTTGGTGCGATCTATTAATTTGCAGGTAGAAGGTTGTGTTTCCTTCAAGGATAGAGAAGCTAGGATAGGTTTCTCTTAGGACTAAAGGGTTGTGGTGATTGTATTGAGTGATCGATCTATAGAGAGGGGTTTTTGCTATTGTTCAAGTGTGTTTGTACTTTGTAAACTCTTGATAATCCTATTGCAGTGAGTCTCTGTATTTTGGAGCTCAACGTAGACGTAGCTTGTTCAATCTTGAACAAGTGAACCACGATAAAATCGTGTTTGATTTGTTCTTGTTTGATTCTATGTGTGAGTGTTAAAGATAGATTGATATTTAGGCTTTATTAACAACAGTGGTATCAGAGCTTGAGTTTTAGGGCTGCCAAATCTCTAGGGTTTCTTGAATTGGAAGTTTCTTGAAATTAGGGTTTGTAAAAAATTGGGGGTTTATTGATTTGTCACATCTTGGGTAGTTTAAGGTTCCTAAATCATTAATTTATCAATCTACTTGCAAGAATTTGAGATCAATTTTGTGTTTTAGGGTCCAAGAATCAGAAATCAATCTTTGATTACTAGGTCTACGTTTGAAACCACAACATGATTACCACACACATGGAAATCTCCCAGTATGATGGGAAGATAAATTTCAATAGCTGGAAGAAGAAAATGAAAGCCCTACTGTCACACAACAAGGTGGGCATTGTATTGGAGAAAGATGCCACAAAATGGCCTAAGGAAAGGCTGAATAAGAAGGCTGAGATGGATGAGGAAACATATAACCTTATCATCATATACCTATCAGATAGTGTACTGAAGAAGGTAGATGGTCTGGAACCCCCAATCGCCTTGTGGGATAAACTTGAAACCTTATACTCATTACAATCTACTCCTAATCTTGTGTTTCTAAAAGGTTCTCTGTTTTCATATAAAATGGATCTTGCTAAATCTTTAGATGATAACCTAGATGAATTCCTGAAAATGACATTGATACTAAAAGGCACTGACCAAGAATTAGGAGATTCTATCTTAGCTATGATCTTGTTAAATTCGTAGCCTGATGAATATTTAGTGGTGAAAAATGCATTACAATATACTGGAACTGTTCCTAGTGTTGATTTAATTGTTGCTGGGTTGAAATCTAGGGAATTAGAATTAAAGACTCAGAAGAGAAATGGGAACAACATGTTTGTAAAGGGCAAGATAGATTTAGGTTAATTAGGAAAGGAGGCAGGAAAAGGCCCATAGTATAACTCTGGTTTTAAGGGTAAGAAGAAGGGTAAGGATAGCAGTAGGCCTAAAGGGGAAACAAGAAAGTGTTTTCATTGCAATAAAATAGGGCACCTAAAGAAAAATTGCTATGAGTGGATTAAAAAACAGAAACAAACCAATACTGAAAGCAATTTAGCAAGTTCTAGTAACAACATTGAGATTTCTGAAGCACTCACAATATCCAATTCTGATAGTATTAGGGAATGGGTACTAGATTCAGGGTGTCCTTTGATATGAGTCCTAATAAAGGTTGGTTCCAAGATTTTAAAGAGGATAAACAAGAAACTATTTTTACGGGAAACAATCACTCCTAAAAGGTACTAGGAATTGGAAGTGTAATGATTAAATTGGTTAATGGGAAGGTAATAAAACTGACTAAGGTTAGATACATACCTGAATTAAAGTGGAATGTAATCTCTCTGGGTACTCCAGATAAGGCTGGTTGCTGCTATAAGGCACAAAATGGGTGTACAGTAGTGTACAAAGACAATAATATACTGCTTAAAAGGACTATAAAAAATGGTTTGTACATACTACATGGTTACTCTTATCTTGATACCTTTAATACTGCACTTTTCTTTACTAACATGTCTGCTGTAGAGAAATGACACCTGAGAATGGGTCATATAGGCTAGAAAGGAATGAGCACTCCCAAACAATAGGGGTATTTTGGGAATGATAATATTTATGAATTAGAGTTTTGTGAAACCTGCATTCTTGGCAAGTAGCACAGATCGAGTTTCCCAAAAGGAACTCATCTAGCTTCTAACTATTTAGAGTATTTACATTCTGACTTGTGGGGTACTGAGAGAGTTAGGTCTCATGGTGGGAATACTTACTTCATATCCATTGTAGATGACTATAGCAGAAAGGTATGAGTATACCTCCTGAAGTCCAAGGATGAAGCCTTAGCTAAGTTTAAAACCTGGAAAGTCCTGGTAGAGAACCAAACTGATAAGAGAGTGAAGGCCCTTAGGATTGATAATGGACTGGAGTTTTGCAACTTTGAGTTCTACAAATATTGTAGTGACCAAGGGATTCTTAAGCATAGGACTGTCAGAAAAACCCCTCAGCAAAATGGTGTTGCTGAGAGGATGAATAGGACATTGTTAGAAAAGGTGAGGTGTCTTCTATTTACTTCAAGACTGCCAAAAACCTTTTGGGGGGAAGCCTTGACCATTGTGGCCTACCTAGTTAATAGGAGTTCATCTAGTTCAATAGAGTTCAAATGCCCTGAAGAAAAGTGATCAAGAAGGAAGCCTAGCCTTAGCCACTTGACAGTTTTTGGGTGTGTAGCCTATGCACACACAAATGATGGGAAGTTAAAACCTAGGTCTCTTAGATGTGTATTCTTAGAGTACCAAGAAAGGACCAAAGGTTACAAACTTTGGGAAAAAGATGTGCAGGGGGTAAGAGTAATAATTAGCAGAGATGTAGTCTTCAATGAGAGCATATTCCCTTGCAAAACTACTAACCATATTGCAGGTATCTCCAACACTGATTCTCAGGAACAAACTCAAGGTAACAACACCCAAATTGAGGTGGAGGCGGCAAGATACATTGATCTGACTAGCCCAAATGAAGAAACTGAACCAAATCAGGAACCAGCTGCTGTTGACCATGATCAAGATGTTGAAGAAGAATTGACAGGAAATGGTGAGGAGGCTCAACTGGATGATCTTGCCCAGTACCAATTGGCACGAGATAGAATCAGAATCCCCATCAGATACAGCTATGTAGACCTGATATACACTGCCCTAGTTGCTGGAGTAGAGATACAGAAAGTTGAACCTGACACTTATGAAGAAGCAATCAACTCCAAGGACAACAAGAAGTGGCTTGCTGTCATGAAGGAAGAAATGGAGTCCTTAAAGCTGAACAAAACCTGTCCTTGTTCCAAAAGCCTAAGACCAGAAAGTGGTGTAGTGTAGGTGGCTGTTCAAAGTGAAAAAGGAACAAACTAGTCCGATCCTCTAACATACAAGGCCAGGTTAGTAGCAAAAGGCTACACACAGAGAGCAAGTATTGATTTTAATGAAGTATTCTCTCCATTAGTTAAGTTTAAGACAATTAGATTAATGTTATCAATTGTTGCTCACCTTGACTTAGAGTTAGAACAGTTAGACGTTAAAACTGCCTTTTTGCATAGTGAGTTAGAAGAAGAAATCTTCATGAGTCAACCTACTAGCTTTAGAGACAAAAACTCGCCTGATTATGTTTGTTTGTTGCATAAATCCTTGTATGGCTTGAAACAATCTCCTAGGCAATGGTATAAGAGGTTCGACTCCTTATTGTGAGGGCTGGATTCACTAAGAGTGAGTATGACAACTGTTTTTACTTTGCATCCATTGATAACATGCCTATATATTTACTTTTATATGTTGATGACATGTTGCTAATTAGTAAGTCGAAGTCAAAGATAGATGAATTAAAATCAAAATTGAGTGTTGAATTTGATATGAAAGACTTGGGTTGTGCAAAGAAAATATTAGGTATGGTGATAGAGAGAAATAGGAAACTTAATCAATTAAGACTACACCAAATGTCTTACTTACAGAAACTTACCTCTAAGTTTGTAATGGCTGAATCTAAAATTGTTAGCATGTCATTAGCAAGTTATTTTGTCCTTAGTAAATTGCAGTGTCCCAAAACAGAGACTGAAATGTAAAAATGGAAAACATCCCATATGCTAATGTAATAGGATTTATTATGTATGTTGTGATTAGTACGAGGCCTGATCTTTCATTTGCAATATCTCTACTGAGTAGATATATGTCAAATCCTGGAATTGACCATTGGGTTTCACTAAAATGGCTGTTAAGATACATTAATACTACTGTACACATTCGGCTGCTTTACTATGAAAAGAATGCTACACTTGATCTTGTTGGGTATGTAGATTCTGACTTTGCAGGGGATAGAGACACAAGGAAATCTACTACATCCTACTATTTCACACTTGGAGGGAACTGTGCATGTGAGCTAGAAATCTCAATTACAACCGTTGGTTGCATTGTCTACAATCAAGGCTGAATACGTGGCTGTCACGGATGCATTCAAGGAAGCACTATGGCTTCGAGGGATCCTGAAAATGTTACTGTATATTCTGACAGTTAAAGTGCCATCCACCTCAGTAAGAATCCGGCGTACCATGAGAGAACCAAGCACGTAGATGTCAGGTACCATTTTGATAGAGATCTTATCTCAAGAGGAATATTGGATTTGAAAAAGGTGCAAATTGAAGAGAATCCAGCCGATATGGGGACAAAGATTGTGACTGCCACCAAGTTCAAGCACTGCTTGGACTTGTTACACATAAGGTAATCAATTAGAGT